TTTCTTTTTAGAACAACAATATATAAGTTATGGTTCAAACACACACCTTTAGTCTGCGCTACATATATTAACTAGTTGAGTTAGGCTCAAATGGACCTTTTTTCTTTTGTTAAAAGTTGAAACAAAGTGGTAGGAGGGGTAAGGTGAAAATTTTTCTTTTATTTTAGGACACTTCTATAGAAACGAAGGTTGAAATTTTAATCTTAAATAAGGTAATATGTATTTTATTTGACGTGGAAATGAGGATTCAAATCTCAAACTTTGAACTTTTAAAGTTTTGTTTTTTCACACCTCATTTCTTCAACACAAATCTTAAATTAGTGAAAGTGCTTTTAATTAATAAAAAATATATTTTATTTTAGGGCAAGGATGTTTTTATCTTTTCTTTTAATCTCTCGCAGTCATTTTACCAACGAGTTACGGGGTTGGGAAAAAAATCCCCAACCCTATATATATATATAGAGAAAAATGAATTTTTCCTAGTGAAAAAAACAAAAGACAAGAGGAGAGGATTGACCAACTCAGAGCGGGCATTTAGGAAAAGGAAACGGAAAATGAAGACGTAAAGGGAGGGAGAGTTTGACTACTTCGCTTCCCAGCCAAAGTAGATAAGAATTAAGATGCGACTAACCCAAATCACTTTACCGTTGGATGCAAAACGCCAAAACATCAAACTACCACTACTTTTTGTTATCTTGAAAAATCAGAACTTAAATCGTCATGTCATGTACAAATAAATAAATTATCATCAGAATCCGCAGTTATGCTTTTGTTATTTTCTTGTTGAACTCGTCAAACCTTCCAGCCAAACCAATAGCATCGATATCTGATGTAATGGGTTGAAACTCTGGAAAACAATGACCAAATGTCTCCAAAGGAAGGGCGTCTTTATACATTTCATTTCACTCATATTGTTATGTTAACTTTTGGCCAACTTTGTTACTTTCTATAGCAGCATATCATCCATACTGGGAACGAACTCCAACCATTTGCCATATTTAATTGCACCAATCAATCAAGTATACACAAAGCCAGATTGTAAACACAAAGATTATAATCGGGTAAGCATATAATTCAAAATTTAACTCAAATTAAAAATAGCCGCAGCAGCTTCGAGGGCAAAGGCTAGTCACGTAGAGACGTGAGTTAACAGGCCAATTACCTTCGAGTCAAAAAAGATTATATCTCTGGACTTGGCCTACTCCAAAATTTCAATAGTGACAAATGACACTAAAATAAAATACAATATCATAACCATTCCATCGGACTTTCCATCTATTTCTACTGGCCACGGGATATATCTACCAGGGATTAAATGTGGCGGTTCCTCTTGATCCTGCACTTACCCCGGCGCTTGGCCTTACCAACCTTGAATTTTCTTCCGGATTTCTTTCCAATTCCACCAACAGGCTTCATCTTCATGCTTTGACTGGGATCATCCAACTCCACATCTGTAACAGACAATTACAAAGAAATGAGGGCCTGGTTCCATAAATCCATCTGCAGCACCAGCAGAAAAGAGAACAGTTGTATTGCACTTTGGTTGATACTATAATTCCATTATTGGTTGAAATTCATGCAAACAAAAGTCATTACGTTCCTTTTTCCAGAAAATGACTATTTGGTAGTTCAAACTAATAGTTTCAACTCATTCAAGGTTTATTATTTTACTGTTTTCTGCAGTAGTCAGTATTGGAGTTGAAAAGACCTGTGGCAGATTCCAACTCAAAAAACCCATTGGAGAGTTAATGTAGAGCTTGGTAACATGATTGACAGCAAAGTACCTCTTCTAAAATTTTAAAATCAAAGCCCAATCTCACATCTCCACACAATAAAGCACGATAAAATACCTAGCAATAGGTTTAGCATAAGTTTCTTTTTCATAAGTTAACAAACAGTAGGATCATAATCAGAAAGTAAAAGGCTTTAAAACGAGGGAGTATTATTCATAGGTCATAGGCGATCTCTAGTTACATTTAATAGTAGGGATAGGAAAAACATATAGAACTCTCCAATAAAAATAAGTCACTGACAAACTTGGATATTTCTAACTGGAAAAGTTTAAAAATATGATCCTGATTTCTACTCATCTGTCACTTAAACAGTTAAACTCATGGCCAAAAAATTAACGGGTAAAGAATAATTACGAGAAAGAAGTAAGCTAACGCTTAAATAAAAATTGAACAACAAATACGGCTTATATAAGAAGATTGAAAAAAATGCATTCATCTACCTTAGAGTTGAGTTCAAAAAAAAAAAAAAAGCAAGTTTAGACTCCATAAACGAAATTTCACCAAAATAGTTTGATCTTCATCTTCATGGAAAAGGGAACATAATTAATACATACTGAAGTTGGGCAACATTCCTCCATCACCTAATTTCTCTCTTGGATAAAGTTGTGCAAAACAAAAATTGGACATCTGGGCGCTAAGAATGTAGGGATTAATTCATGAAGAATTGATCGACATGAAGCCTCAACATATCAGGTAACAACGTGAAGATTGTGAATAGCATGAGATTTATTCAGAGGGCAGCTCTCTCGCTCTCTCTTTCTTATGACTACACAAAGTAATAAGCACGGAGTAAAAGCATTTCGGTAGCCTTTTCCGGGAGGGGGTTACCCCCAACCCTTAGGTTGTTTTCGCCTTTTTGTTGATATATACAAGTTTCATCCAAAAAAAACGAAAAAGAAAAGATTTGGCATGGGTTGAGTAAAATTTCCATAACATAAGAAACACTACAATGAAAGTCATAACCTAAATAATGAAGAATGGAGAGGAAAAAAAAAAGTTGTGCGGGTAATAGACGGAATTAAGGGGGTACCCATAGCCATAGGAGCGTGGGAAGTGGTGGAAGTAGATGCTGGCGCAACGTCGGTGGTAGAGGCATCGGAGGTGAAAGGAGAGGGACGCACAGGAAGCTTAGGTGCAGCAAGAGCAGCCTGTTGAGCAGCGAGCTTGGCAGCGTCTTTATTGTCGTAGAAGGGTTCAACCATCTCTCTCCTGATAGCTCTCAGCCTCTTCTCTCTCTTGGATCTCATGGACTTCGCCATATTTCTTGTTCTTCTCTCCGATGAGTCCCCTCCCCGCGCTCTGTTTTGCTCTGGCTGCGTCTGCGTCTGCCTCTGCCCACCAATTTTAGGGTTTCTCTTTCTTATGGACCTCTCAACTTTCTAAATGCCCAAAACGCCCCTTCGCTTCGGAATTGCCTAATATTTTGAGATTTTGTTGGACTAAACCCATAATATATATATATATATATATATATATTTTTTCTTTTTTGAATGTGCCATACACACACAATACGCGTTAGTTTAATGATTTGTTTCATATTTTGGGACTATTTGAAACTATCAGTCTTTTTATCATTATTAAAAACGTATTTTAATGGTTATTTTTTAAATTTATAGCTCTAACGTATTCTTGCACATGACCTAATAAAAGAATATATTGTGATATTTTTTTTGGTGCAACAAATTAGACATACAAAAAGTTTGAATCTCCGATCTGAAGAATTGGAGAAGTTTGAAACAGGTATCAATTAATGCTAAATTATTTCAAAAAAGAAACTATTTTCAAATTAATTTTTCGACGGCTCTCTCTTATTCAAGTTGTACACCTATTTTGCCTACACTAAAAAGATTCTATATGTTTAAGAAAAATAAATTGAGTTTCAAAATCAAAACCGACACTAACATCTTTTTTTAGTCAACCACTGTAGTTAGATATACTCAAGTTGGCAACCCAACCTCCTTAATTGGACTTAAATTTTAGTTAAATGTTTTCAAATAAAAAATCTTGGTTAAACAAATAGTTTTGATATATAAATGCTCGATTTAATTCTAAATATAAAACTAAAACTTCATAATCTCAAAAAGAAAGGAAAAAAAGAGAGAGATTAAAACTTCATATTTTAGCTGCTCATAACGTAGGTTGATATATGTAACTCAATCACTTGCTTTTGTATTTATTTTTTAAAGTCCACTCGAGCACTTGTTGGTAGAGAGGGAAGACTAAAAGTACAAGTTCCGAAATTTTGTTCGTGTGTTGTTTTTCTTTTTTAGAAAAGAAAGTCGGTGGAAAGGAGCCATTGCACAGGCAACAAATAGCAAAAGTGAAAAATAAGAATGAGAGGTAAAGGGCAAATAGAATTCACAAGTGAAGAGAAGAGTGAATAAGAGGGGGAAAAGGAAGCATGTGAATTAAAAAAAAAAGGAAGGATATTTGGAAGTGAAAGGGGACTGTAGAGTGGAGTTTCGATGTCATGCCTTCCCAATGAACTCCACATCAAATACGAGAACCGAGTTTGGGGGAATGATACAAGACCCTGCCGTGATCAAACCAAACACAAACAAAAACCATTATCAGGATCAGCTTCTTCAAAACTACAACACTCAAAATTCCAAGCTTCAAGTTTACCTCCTCTGCACCCAGCACCTCTTGCGCCATACCCAAGTTCCGGAGGAAGCTTTAGCACCCGCTTCCCTCCTTCACAATCAAATAACAGTACAAACTTACAAACCAACAAGCCTCACCCAAATTTCATTCCAATTCCAATCATATTATTCAACTTCAAAACTCCATACCTGGAAGCATTGCAGGAACTCCACCGCCCCCAAGAATACCTTCATCCCAACCTTTTATAACCTGAACATTTTACATCAATCGCTACTATTCCAATTCCAGTCATATGATTCAACTTCAAAACTCCATACCTCACCAACCCCAACTCGGAAGGTTAACGGCTTCCCCCTATTGTAGCTGCTGTCGAACACCTTTCCGCTCTCTAATTTTCCAACGTAATGTGCCTACCAATTTGTCATTTCACACAGTTCAACATCAACTATGCATATTTAGCAAGAATTCGCTGGGGATTAAAAGGGTAAAAGCGATTCGACACATACCTTGATTAGCTGTCCTTTTACGGCCTCCGGGCCTGTCCCCACAACTTTATCGCAGAAGGCAAGCCCCGAAGGAGCTACCGTGAATTCACATGGTGTGCCTTCAGCAGCTGAAGCAGCTGCAGGCAGCGGCTGCAGGAGAGCGTTGGCAAGGCCATACAGGAATCCGCAACCAACTGCTTCTCTTCTGCCCAACGAAGTTCGGTTCTCCTTCAATTCCAGTTCGTGCTGAGGAGAAGGGATTTTTGGGGTATGGGGGAAGATAGATTTGGAGACTTGTTCTCTTGTTTGACATTTATGGGGTGATATTTTGATGGAGCGGCGCGTTCTGGGAGTGGCAGCCCCAACCCCAAGTGAAATTCTCAGCGAACTCATATCCGATAAACACTACACTAGTTTCAGTCTTCGGAAGCAGATAAAAGAAAACAGGATCAGCTTCCACCTACTGCGATGGACAGGAGCGAATGGCATTCCACGTGGGAAGCAAGAGATTGGGCAGCGCACCATAAAGCGGGCCTGTTCTGTTACTGCCAACGTCGGGCCACAAGAGTCTAGAGCCCATTTCCAATAATGTGTGGTAGTCCAGTTTCGCCCAACCCCACTACAACTTCTTGTTCTCGTCATGTTATGTGTTTAGTAGCTTAAGTTTACGGATTCTCAAATGTCTATGGCTGTAACCAATTTACCAGAATAGTATAACTCAACGATGTAGAAAGGAACCTGATGTGAAGTTCATCTGACAACAAGCAGGTCTATTTATGAAATAGTGAAACCATTGGGAGGAGATGAGAGTTTTTTTTTTCCCCGAATCTGAAGGCACTTTTTGGCTTACCTTGGCCTTCTTGTTTTGTTCTGCTTTGCTTCGCCCTCCATCAAATGGAGCGTGGCACCAGAGTTAATTAAACCTAAGCAGCTCAAGATCTCGAGAGATATCCAATTTCTATCATTTAGCCAAGTTGACCAATGGCATGTATGAATAGTACAAGTAAAACAAGCCGAGGTTTGCTTCATACAAAGAAATTGATCAAACCGAACAGGCAACGTGGGGGAAGCTACTTTAGTTTCACAAAAAAATAAAAATAAAAATCTTTGCTGAAGCACATTAGCACGTCAATCTCGAACAGGCAAGAGTGAAGAAGCTAAATCCATGGCCAGAAAAGTAAACGCGACCAAATAGCACGAACCATCAGTCAGCAATCATCCCCCAGTGTTACTAATAGATGTCGTCATGTAAAAGAATAACGGGCTTTTTTGTGAAAGTTCAATTGGCAAGAGCTTGCATTTGAGAAGCTATGACCATTGTAAAGTTGTAAACTACAAACTTATTTCCTCTAGCTTCATCATCAATTGTTTCTGGTAGTATTTTTGAGGAAGCAGACTATAAAACACCAGTGAAAGTAATTTATAAAGTTGACCATAAGCAGTTGCTTTCCCCCTTTATATTCTGTGTCGAAACGTAGGAATGGTGCAATTACAACCGACTACAGTTCACTTCTAATAAGGCTATAGGCCCTAACCTTCCTCACATTTTGGTTCATTAATTTCCTTATCTTTTCTGCATCATCCCACTTTTCCTCCAAAACATACAAATCAGATATGAGAGAGTAAATTCCACCATAATTTTCGGGTTCTGTCCTTTCCAATATCTGTTCAATAACTCTCTCAGCTATGTCAAACCTGTTATGTTGCTTACAGGCCGACAAAATAGAGCTCCACACAATGACATTAGGCTCGAGTCTCATATTCTTAATAATGCCATAGGCTTCCTCCAACAATCCCGACTTACCCAGAAGATCAACCATACAACCATAATGTTGAATCCTAATTTCCAAGTTAAATTCTTCAATCATGTTAAAATATTTGCGGCCTTCTTGAACTAACCCTGCATGAACACACGCACTTAAAATTCCAGTGAAAGTCAATTCATTCGGTTCCACACCTTCATTCCTCATCATCTCAAATAAAACTAATGCTTCCTTAGAGTAGCCATGCTGGACCGACCCACAAATCAGAGCAGTCCAACTCCTGACGTTCTTTTCAGGCATCAAATGAAATACCTGGCAAGCATTCTTCAAAGATCCACATTTGGCATACATATAAACCAAAACTGTACCAAGTTCCAAGTTCAGTTCCCACCTATTCTTGACCACAAAACCATGAACTGATTTTCCGGCCAAAAATCCTAAAGAGCCCATATGAGCACACCCATTTAGGATTGATCCTGCCGCCATTTGGTCAGGATTTAGACCACTGGCTATCATATCCTGGAAAAGAACCAAGCCACACTTGTAATTGCGATTGTTAATGTAAGCAGCAATCATAGCAGACCATGATGCTAAATCTCTTGAGGGCATTAGATCAAACAGCTGGCGAGCTCTGTCTACGTTCCCTGACTTGGAATACCCAAAAATCATGGTGTTCCAGGAAACAGTGTTCCTGTGGGGCATTTCGTCGAACAACAAGCAAGCCAGTTGTAAAGAGTTAAGGACGTATGCATAGAGAAGGGATGTAGCGACATAAAGATGTGAGGTGAACCCAAGTTTGGCAATATGGGCATGGAGGTGCTCAAGAATGGAGAGATTGCGGGAAGGAGCGCAGGCTTTGAGCATAAAGAGAATTGAGAAGCTGTCATAAGGAACGGACTGACGGTGCATCTGGGAGTAAATAGTTAATGCTTTACGAAGAGAGGGAGCATTTCGAATACGTAAAGCCCAAGAGTTGTAGCCTTTGACGAACAAGATAAATTGGCGATTCGCAGGTTTGAGTAAGTGGCAACAAAGATGGACGACCATAACTTGCGTTGTGTCTGTCTCGTTCGTGCTGTTCCATACAGGCAAATGACAACCGCCAGGCGCTAACCAAGTTTGGTAGGATGGCCAAGCCGGGCCGATGGGGAGTAGTGGGAGAACCTTATTCATGGGCTTTAATTTTTTTGGACCTATTTAGAGTTTTGGACTTGACAAGGAATCGGCTTTTGAAGTCCACTGATTCTATTGAGCTTAAAGTTTTATATTTTTATTTTACTTAATTCTTTTTATTTTAATAAATCCTCCAATTTGACGATTGGTCTCACAATTCCACATAGAATATGGTAAAATATTAAAACATAAAATTAATATAAAATACTTGGCCACACCACCAATAAAAATTAACAACTCATTTTATATATATATATATATATATATATTTTTTTTTTTTCTTTACATTTTTCTCTTAGTTGTCAACCATTTAATAATGGCGAGGACAAAATAAATTTATTGTTTTGTTCATAAAATATAGGAAACATATTTTTACGTTGAGATTATATAATCAAGCAATTAATGTTGTTGTAATGTTGGTATATATTTATAAATATATGTTCTATGAATGGTTAAATAAGAGAAAAAATTTATTATTAACTGGTACTCAATACTCACTAATTATGATGCAAATGGCAGATAGACATTCTTCTACAAATGTATTATTAATTACTTGACGGTGGAATTATTTGAATGATTATCCTCAAAGATGGACCAAGAGAAATTGTAATTCCCATTGGTGATTGGATAATGAATTTGGTTAGACTTCCCCTGTGAAGTGTGTTGAATTAGTTGTATTGCATGAGCACACTTCACCCCCTTAATTAATGCTTTTAAATGAATTTCTTTTACTTGTTACATAAGTTACATCCCTAAAACCTAATCTCTCCATACAAATTAATTAACCAAAAACTCTCATTTCGTTTTCCTCTTATTCTGCCCAAACAATAGTTTATCACAAAAAAAAAAACCTAAAACACCACATATTAATATAATATGTATCAATTCCTCATCTGAGTATAATTTAAATATGAATTAATTTAACTTTGCATATTCATCCCACAAGAAATAAGAAGAAGAATAAAAAAAGGGAATGGGAGGTCTTTATTGGGAAGTTTTGATCAGTCATTTTTCATTTTAACCGCAATTTACTTCCATTCTCTCTATTACAATTAGGAAAGTTGCTCATGCCGAGCTAGTTTGACGAGATCTTAATTAAGTGACTAGGATGTTCTCACCTTAGATATTATCGATAGTTAATCAAACTCAACAACAGTGTAGTGCTTGCCCTAACACCTTCCGATACCTAAGCCAATACTTGGATAAAGTTAGTGTGTCTTACGAAAGGGTTCTTAATCTCCTTTTACAAGTGGAAGATACTTGAAGTTCTATCTTTTCATATCTAAGTTGTATGATCGTCCAAAGTATTAACAAAAGGTCTTTCGAAGATTGTCGGACAATGAAATCATTTTCCGCTGCCAAACAACACTTGGTCTAGTACTCATTTGCCAGCTGAGGTTCTATCATGTACTATCGTGTCCATATATATATGAGTCGGTTATGCGAGGAATCACTTCGTGCTCCCTTTTGTGATTGGGTTGAACCCATCTTTCACATGGCGTCGCATGGTGGTAGCCACGTGGCTGGTGAAAGTTTACCCATAACAAAAATAATAATTAATGGACATTAGGTGAAAGTTTGTGAATTTGAACATAGTTCAACGGGTTAAAACTTATATAGTTTGGACTAAAATATCATGGTTCAAATCCCCACTCATACTAAAAGAAATCAACACAAGTTTTAGTTTCCTCTACGTGTGATTAATTTTGCTTATACGTTTGACAATTACACGCTGAAGAAATTAATTCATAAATGTAATCATGGGTTAACAAATAATGATTCAAGACAGAAAATGTGTAGCTATATATACTTAATATATAATGGAATTATTTAATTAATTCCTAGCTATACACATCATATATGTTCTTTCCCAAAAAAAAAAAAATACATTATCATGCAATCATGAGTTAACAATATACTATCAATCATATTTGATCACCTATATTTAACTAATATATATACTTCATTGACAAACCGAACATAGCTCAAATGGTTGCAAGAGTTCATGAGTTCGAACCCCATGTTGTATAAAAAAAAAGATCATATATACTTCATTCTATCTATGTTCTTGTACTTTTCAACTTATCATTTCCTTCCCAAGTCTAAATAATAAAAATTATATATCTATATTTTAATCTAATATTTGAATCTCCATAAACTCTCATTAATAATTATATATCTAGATTAATTTTTTAATCTGAATAATATGTGTATATATATTTGTGTTCGTGTGTGTGTGGTAGAAGAAAAGTTGAAGGGAGAAAATTGAGGATTAAGTTTGTCCCAAGATCCATTTAATAATAATATCCCTTTCACATAATTAATGATATTCATAAGGCTGGTTGACGTTAATTAATGGGAAAAAGAAAATGCGTATATATGTTTTTTCAGTTGACTCCTCGCCTCAAGCAAGGATTAAGTAAAAGAAATGAAATCCTAGTGGGCTTCCGAGGAGAGATGGAGATGAGTGGGCGAAAGGAAATAAAATGAAGGATTATTATTTATTCTATTCCCTCGCATATATATTAATGTTTAAATTGCGCACAATCATGACGATTAGGTAGCTATAGAAGTAAGGTGTTTCCGTGGAAAATGTGCATAATATTGATAATTGATATGATAAAAAGTAATATAATTTGAGGAAGAGTGGTATTATAGTGAGAGTGTAGGGTTAATTAAGGGTTAATGGTTATGCAATAATATGAAAAAGGTCGTGTTGTGTGGGCCGGGGCTGCCTGATTGCTTCTTGTTCAAGGGTGATGATATGTGATTGGAGTTAAAGATGATGAATTAAGGCGGAGTATATATATAAGTTAATTAGGACGTTGTGTTTTGATTGGGTGAGAATTAAGAATATGGGGCACGGGGGGTGGTGCAGGAAAGTGAAGGTGAAGAGAGGTTTGTGGTCTCCCGAGGAAGACGAGAAGCTGGTGAATTGTATAAGGAGAAGGAGTGGTGGTGGAAATGGGCATGCTTTTTCCTGGAGTAGCGTGCCTAAATTGGCAGGGTTGGCGAGATGTGGGAAGAGCTGCCGGTTGAGGTGGATCAACTACCTGAGACCAGATCTGAAGAGGGGTAGCTTCAGCGCCGAGGAAGAGAGGACCATCGTGGACGTCCACCGGATCCTGGGGAACCGATGGGCCCAGATAGCCAAGCATCTCCCCGGCAGAACTGACAACGAGATCAAGAACTTCTGGAACTCCTGCATCAAGAAGAAGCTCCTTGCCCAAGGCCTGGATCCCAATACCCACAATCTTCTCCGCCCGCCGCCTCCGCCTCCTCAACCAACATTAATATCATCATCGTCGTCCAATAATAACACCACCTGCCCAGTCGGAGCCATACCCGTTCACCTGGCGGGTGATCCGGCCAGACCAACTACTTATAATAATTGCATCAATACTGCTACTAATCCCAGCCAACAGTTGCACAGGATGTGGGAATTAGATGATATCACTCTAGAGCCTCACCCTGCATATGATCACCACGTTCCTGCTCCTGCTCAATTAAAGGATTTTGATTTTGATTTTGATTTTATCCATGATTTTCAGGAGGATTCGGTGATGGATGTGATACCAAATTCCCTTCTCAATTACAACCACCACCCCGATTATCAATAATTCAATCTGCTGCATCCGCGGGTTTTTAGCTTCCAACTAGCTACCAACCGTCTTCTTACTTTAATCTACCTACTTATTAGGCTATTATACCTTTAGCTAGCAGCTTCTGTAATATATATGTACATTATATTATATTCATTCCATCAACCACTCTCTCATTTTCTTCTTTCTCTGCTTCAACAATATTATAATTGTTCTTGCTTCTTCCCCTTCTTTCTTTCTTTCGTTTTCTATATAATTTGATCATCAAACTTCAAACTTCCTCAATATCATCTCTACTATATTAACAACAACTTTACATTAACCACATCCCTCTTTGCCTAACATGTTAGTATACCTCATGGGGAAGTGACATTTTTTTAGTTTGGACGTTCAAATCCCAATATATATGCATCTAATACTAAAAAAAATAAAAATAAAGAAAGAATGATATTTTAATATATTGTTACACGTACTATTGTGAACTTGGTACTTTAAAATATTAAGGACCAAATGAGATTGATCTAAAATATTAAGGTCAATTTGATGTGTATATTTAGCTTAACTAACGGGTAACATCGATGTATGTAAAATTTATCGGAAAAAATAAAATGATAAATTGAAAAGGGACCTTCACCGTAAAACTAATATGTATTTTCAAAGTATAAGAAAATTTAAAATTAACAAAAATAACATAATTCAAATCCCAAATATAATATAAAGCAGTATAAATTTTCAATTTTATATTTTATATCATAGTTTTTAATCATTTTAAAATTTTAAAATTTGATATTTAATTACTTAATTCAAACAACAACAAATACTAGAAAAAAACTACATAGGATATGAAATCTTTTAAGACAATTAATTGAATAAAAAGTCGAAGGTTAGATCAGACTAAAATATAGGATAACACAATACATTTACCGACAAAAAAAAAACCTAAATTTTGGTGGAAAAAAGTTAGAAGAAAGACCGTTTTATATGATCGTGGACATAAAAAAATTACAAAATTTTTGAAATTTAACTATTAATTATAATTAAAAATAACTCATATCCTTTTTAAATTAATTTATAAAAAGTAAAGAGATAAAACTTTACGTGTTCTATAATTTTTAACTAATTATATTCTATCTTTTTGCAAAAGTAATCAACCCTTCGTTATTTCTCAATAATTAACCACTCATTTGGATGATTTGTAAATAAATTCAAAAAATTTAACTCTTTCATTCATAAGTGGGTGTGATATATGGATGGGAGAGGAAGACTTAGTTGGAGGAGAGAGAGGAGGTTAGTTATTGAGAGATAATTTTTTTGACTGGATGTTTTTTAAACATTGTTGACCGGAATTATTGAGAAATATATATATATATATAGAATTATTGATAAATATTGAACCATATTGTATTTATATATATAATTATTGATAAATATTGAATCATATTGTATTATCTACCTGCAAAATATAAGAAAACTATATTATTTAGTTTTTTGAAATAAAATTAAGATTAATTAGTTATTATTTGTTACCAAATAATAATCTCTGTTAAATAAAATAAAACCAAAATTGTATGGAGCAATTATTGTTTTAATTAAAAAGTATATTAACTAACTAATACTCTAGAAAGATAAACACGTGAATTTGAATCTCCATCTCCTCCCTTTTTGAGTATCCAACCCATTATCCTCTTTTGTGGCATGTGCAAGGAAAAAATAAGAGACCGTGAAACATCTTCTGCTTAAGATACTTAGGATCCGTTTTATAACCATTTGATTTTTTGTTTTTAGTTTTTAAAAAACACGGTTGTTTATAACCAATTCAATTTTCTGTTTTTTGTTTTTCCAAAGCCATTTTGAAACTCTAGGTAAATTTCAAAAACAAAAAAAAATTATTTTCAAAAACAGATTTTTGTTTTTCAAAATCTGATTTTTTTTCTTTCTCATATTTATCTCTAAAAAACTTATTTTTCACTCTAAAATTTTTTTATTTCTAAATTTCTCTCTACAGACTTTATTCTCTTCTCTCTAAAATTTTCATATTTTGAATATTTACTATTATTTGTCTCTCTCCAAATTTTTACGTATTTTTGTTTTTTTTAACAGGCCAATTTCATTTATCTGTCTAAAAATTTAATATATTTTCTAACTTTTTTCTCTCTAAAATTTCATCTTTTATAATTTTTCTTTATTTTCGTAATCTATTTTTCCTCTGAAAATTATATTTTATTTTATCGTTTATTTTTCTTTCACGCGAACTTTTATTTATCTTTGTATTTATTTATTTTCTTTAAAAATTATATTTTGAATCTTATTTTTATCTTTCCACTGTCATTTTTTTCTTTCTTTATAAGTTTTTTTTTTCTTTAACATATCTTTTCCTCTCGACCTATTTTTTTTCACTAAAATTTTTCTCTTTTTGTCTTTAACTTTTTCTTTCACTATTTTTTTCGAAATATTTTTATTTATCTCTCTAAAATTTAGCTTCCAAAAGTTTATTTACGTCTCTCTAAACTTGTATTTTCATGTCTCTAAAAAAAATTTCTGCAGAGTCGGGTCTCAAAAATAGGAAATACATGTCCCGACCCCATCCCCATCCCCGTCCCCGATTCCATTTTTTAAATAATTAAAATATATTTATTACACATTTTTTATACTTAAATTATAAAAACAATTAAAAATAATTATAAAACTGATAATTTTTCTCGAGAACATTTCTCGGACCCAAGAACTGGAGACGGAGACTAAAAATTTTCATGAGCACGATAATGGGTGAGAGAATCCTCACTTGCACCCACATCATTGTCATCTCTACTCTACATAAAATTTTCTCTACTCTCAATTTTCTAACTTTTTAAAAACAAAAAACTAAAAATGGTTAGCAAACATGTTTTGGTTTTTTGTTTTTTAAAAACAAAAAACAAAAAATGGTTACCAAACATATATGTTCAAAACGAAAAAACAAAAAACCAACCACAAGAAAAAACAAAAACCAAAAACTAAAATGATTATCAAAGGGGCGCTTAGAAATATATTGAGTAAATTTATGCCTACTTACAATGCTGAAGAAGCGACTACTAGTATGGTTATTGTCCAGCATATTTGGAAAAGCAGAAACAAGACCACCTTTAGAGGAGAAATGTTGTTACATTCAACGACATATATAGGCACAAGCACAACCCAAACAAAAAGGATTCAAAGAATCAAGTGATGCATGGAGCAACAAAGGGAGAATTATGACAATTTAGATATAAAATGGAGTTTTCCCCTTCGAATGGTTGAAAATTTAATTCAGACGCGACATGAGGTGAGGAGTGTGAAATAGGTGGCCTGGGTTGGATTGTTCACCACTGGAGGGGATAAATGATATTGGCCAGGAACTGCAAAATCAAGGAGAATAAAGAAATACAATATGATTGATGAAGGAGGAGTACGTCGACTTGACATAAATTGTATGGTTCATTGAAGAAGCTGTGGCCTTAGCGGAAGAGAAAGTGGTTGAATCGATTATCCATATCACAAGAGGGAAGAACACTGTTGCCGATGAGTTAGTGACGTGAGTGAAGAGCGGTCTTTTGATTTTCATATTTGGCTTCGTGATGTAGTTGAAACGCTCATTTGTTATAATTTTAAATTTGAGGTATTTTTTAAAAAAGAAAAAAAAACTATTATTGTACTAAAAAAAGACAATTTAGGAAAATATTTAATTATCACTCTGTATCGTTAGTTTTCCTAATAAGAGAAAATAATCCTTTCCATTTTACGATTCGCATTCCTAAAATAAATTGATCGAAGCTGGACCGGCGGTTTATTGGGAGGAAGGATCGAGCGCAGTCGCTTGCGTTGTGAATGTGAACTTGGACCGGCGGTGTGCTCGGTAGTCGGCATCGGCAGTTCAGGTACCCTGCCCCTCTGAACCATCTCCAGGCTCCACCGCCCCAAAACACTTCCACTGTATGCCGTACATTCGCAACGCTGATTACGCCACCACCAGTTTCTGAAGAATCATGCCACCAGGTTATATCCCGCTCAGATTCTGTCTCATTCATTCCACTCCATCACCAATGCCAATTTCTGCTTATAATACTTCACTTCCATCGCAGATCTCCCTGGCTACTACTATGACGCCCAGAAGAACAGGTATTTCCCTCTCAAAGGCCCAATACCTGGCGCTTCTCGCACTTCCTCCTCCTCCTCTTCAGCCCATGATCATAAACGAATTTCAAAGTCCACCCCGGTGAGTATTTGTCAACGTTTCACTTTCTCAGCTTAGGATTAATGCTTTTTAACAAAATCTCCATACTTCGTTGTTTTATTTGAGGGGTAAATGTCATTTATGCAAAAGACGGTATCTGACCTCCCTTATCGCACCATGCGGTTTCTTAGTCGTGGAATAGGTTTCGTAGTGCCGACTTAAATCCGATTAGAGGTATTACCTACATTGTAGTTACTGATTTCAATAAGGAGGAAGCTCGAAACGATCATGCCATGTCCTGAGATGTCTTAATAGAAGTCGGCTCCATCTTCTATGGATTGCCACCGGTCGTTAATTGATATCAACGATGTATTGAGTTTCTGGGTGACGGAGGACAACAGTTCGTGTCCTAAACCAGGTTGCTGGTTCCATAGGTAGACATTTTTCAGAACTATTATAGAGTAATCTCATGGATGAAATAGCGAATAGGATAGAGGAAAATGAGGGGATAGATCCAGAATAATGAAAGAAAGACAACTGATAGCGTCACGCTCTTGGACCTCTGAAAAATCACTCCTAGAAATAGAAACTTCAGGCTTGAAGTAGAGTGCTTGTGCCACTTGACTCAAATATTTTAGAAGTTCTATAACCTAAACCCTATTCAGTGACATTTTTTCAGATTCTCCGAAGAAATGATTCATTTCTTCCAACACCTCATTGTTCAAATAATGTTAAACCAATCAAGCTTTAAAAGGCAAGGCTTCAATGAGTAATGGGGACCTGGATCTGGGATTGCATCATTTCTTCAAACTTTTTAGTTATTACTAATGGGAACGGGGAGGCAAATTTGGAGCTAGAGGTAGCGGGAAAGGCAACACATTATTCATATTCCTTTTCATATTGGCAACGGATGGAGATGGCCTAGTAGATTTATAGGGAGAGTAAATATTGTCAGATTGACACTACTTGGGGCTTTTCTGTAGGTCAATATCATATTAATACTGCCCGTCTTATTTTTAGGCGATGAGTGCAAGGCCATTTGTATGATCAAAACTGTCAAGCTTTTGGAGGCAGCCTCGGGCTCTAAAATCAATATTTCTAAAGCTCATTATCTAGCGTTTATTGCCTATCTGATTTACCAACATCCTCTCCTTTGAATAAAAGCTCACTATCTCACTTTTTTTTTTTTTTTTTGTGTGTTTCTTTTATGTCAATAAAATTTTTCAAAACTAACACATACCAATTTAACTTTTGCACCTTGAAAGCCTTCTATCTTTTCCCTCTGAATAAATCTTTGTAGTTTGCACTCCACCAAGAAGCCAAGTGTTGTATACTATTGACAAAAGAATTAGCTAAACCAATTAAGTTGGAAGAAGAAATATTTTCTTTCACCCAACCAATTAACACTCACGTGCCGTGTTGCTTAAAGTTTGAAAATAATCATTAACAGTAAGGTTTAAAAATTACTCAATCTGATATAAAAAATGAAAAGCAAACATGGTTTTAAAATTGTATGAATAATTAATTAATTTTTAAATCGAAGTACAATAATGTTTACTGAAATTATCCTTCCATATAAGAAAAAAAAGTATAGTATTACAAACAAAAAATTGAATAATTAAAGAAGCCATATGAAAGGCTATAAATATATTTTAAATTTTAAATAATATTATTATGAAAACAATTAAGCTCATTATCAAATTTCAATTAAAATTAATTTCACAAATTTAAAAGTGAACATTTAAAATTTATTGTGTTCATAAGAATTAATAAATTAAATTTAAAATATATAATTATTGATAAATTAAAATAGTTAAAGCATTTATTAGGTAGTAAAATTAGATAAATATTGAAGTAAGGGCAAAAGAGGAAAATTTTCCCCTTCTTATTGTTTTCACTTCCTTAGGATATATGCTCTGAGGAATGTTGCACTTTCATAGTTGGTAAGCTGACAATTCAGGTATAGTCTGTGGTGTGCTAGTCACGTAACAGTTTTGTCCTCACTTTAGAAATTATTATATCATACTTGATATATATATATAATATTATTTTTTTTGATAACTGGGAGTCGGAGCTTTGCTCTCCTATACACAGGGGCACCCGTATACTTGATATTGATACTTGAAAAGCCTTTTTCCTTACAGAGAGTCTATTCATGTTCGAAGGCTGACTTAAGAACAGTGAAGTTGATTCAAGACAGGGAGTTATATGGTGATGTTAAAGGAAAGTGCAACTTCAAGGAAAAATTCCAAAACTTACAGGCATCCAAACCAGTGGTACGTTCTTTATCAAATACAATCTGAAACTTTGAAGCACTTGTTCTAATTTCATTTTAAAACGAAATGTTGAATATGGCCTTTATATATTAGTTGAATTATTTTATTGATGTTTGTGGTGGAAGCCATATAAGAAAGAATGGTAGTCAAAGTGTTATGAGGAAGCTGTTGTCTTTTAACATCATTTTTATTCTAGTTTCCTTTTGGATAAACTGGGAACCTTGGGCTATGGTAGATAACTAAATCTCGTTAGGTGGCTTTTGTAACATAATAATTAATTGTTTTGTTCCAATTGAGACCCCTGAGAAGTTGCAAAACTCTTTTAATCAATTATCATGTTATTTTTAATTGTTTTACCAAACCATTATCCTTCAGAAAGGTTCTCTTTATTTATTTATTTAATTTTGTGCCTATCCTCCTTAGCAGAAGATTTTTCTGTTTCTTTATTCTAACAAGTTGGACAGAATATTAGCTCCTTTGGTGCTAATTGTGCTCTTATTTCTCTATGCAGGTTTGGAAATACCACGGGACAGATAGAATAGGTGATAGTGCTTTGCAAGAAATACCTATTAATGTGCATACCTCGGAGGGTCAAATGGAATCTTCTGTTCTTTTAACAGGCAATAGAAATGGCTCCTTGAGGTATATATGGAGTTGCTATACTGTCTGAATGTATTTATGCTCGGACAATGCTAGAGAGTTTAACCTGTAAATTTAAAATTAGATCTTGATTAAATGCATGGGAATACATATTTTCATTGTTTGTTATATACTGAACATTTGGGTAGCTTTGAACAAGTTATGTGTAAAATAGTATCTTTTAAGGCATCTATGATTTAACATTCAAGGTTGCACATAACCCACTGGGTTGCACGACAAAAGAACACACAAGACACAACATAAATATGCACACTCCTCCATGTAAATATTCATCTTCACTGAAGCTTTTTGGTAATAGTCATGACCAATAGCCATAAGGTGTGGTAAGTGAGATCTTCAATCCCAATGTCTCCTAGCACACCCCACACACAAGCACGGTGTAGAAGTATATTTAAAATGGACAAGAATGGGCTACCTCTTTCCCTCTCTCTCTCCCCCTCCCTTCAGTATTTTGCCTCCCTCCATTGCCATCTCTTATCTATTCTTATTCTTCAATAGAGGTTGCTTCTAATCCATGTTGGAGGCTTGGTTTACACTGAGTATTGTTCTCTGTGTAATGGCAAAAATATAAAAAAGTGGTTGATAGTAGAGTAGATGTGGCAGCGACAAATTCATCCCTTTTTCACTTGATTAGATCTCCTTGAAATGGCTCTGTGAGTGCTAGTTTCATTTTGCCCCAATTGAACTTCAAAATTTTCATAGAGTTCAAGGCCGAGGAGAAGCAATGACAGTTCCAAGTTCAAGTTCTTAGAGGTCAATCAATGGCTCCCAAGAAGCAGAAGACGGCTAGGGTTAGAAGGAACCACAATCTCATTCTAGGTGTTGGAAAATATTTGATGTCAAAGATGTAGCATAAGTGAGTCTCTGGGCCATCAAGGCCAAGGATAGAGGTGCCTTCCCTCACCACAGTCCCAAGCCTAAGGCTGCTCCAGCAGTGAAGCTGCCTGAATTTCACCCTGCAGGTGACGTTAAGAAACCACTTGTTAACAGTTAACAAGCGCAAACCTAAGCAAGCCAAGGTCAGGTCTAGCGTTACTTCTGGAACTGTGCTAATCATACTCACTGGAAGGTTTAAGGGGAAGGGAGTTGCGTTCTTGAAGCTGCTTCCATCTGGGTTGCTTTTAGTCACTGGACCACTCAAGGTCTATGGTGTTCCTTTGAGGCGATTGATGAAAAATATTTATCCAAGCAAATTCAGAAGAAAAAAAGGAAGGGATGAGGAGAAATTTTTGAGGTGGAGAAGGAGGAAAAGAGTGCACTCCCACAGGAGTAGACACATCTCTGCTAGAGTCCATTGAGGCAGTTTGAGACTTTTTTTTTTTTGATAGGAAACCACACTTTCGTTGAGAATAGTGAAAAAATACACGAGCCACAAGAGGGCCTACAAAAATGGCATAAAAAAAAACAGCCCTGAAAGAGGAAATCCCCTAAAGAAAAGGACTCCAATCCAAAAGAATATGATCTAGCGAATAATTACAAAAGGGCTTAGAAATCGAGCCCTATAACGAAGTATTAAATCTAGCGGGTCCACAGACTTTTCCACCCCCTAAACAATCTATGATTTCTCTCCAACCAAATACCCCATAAAATGGCTAGAAAGCAAGTCTGCCACAAAAAACGAGGCAGTTTCAGACTTAAAGACCTACTTAGCTGCAAGATATTTCTAGAGGCAGGCATGAAACGGCATGGGCTTGATTTCTAGATATTTGCTGTTTGCTGATACTTTTCGCGTGGAATTGGTCTCTATATTTGCTGTTTTGTTATGCGAATTCTAGATTTGAAATTATGCATCGCCATGAATTTTGCAGTGAACTCTTTATTCATAAAAGAAAATTTCTGAGAGTTCAATACTGATGGTTACTAGTGTGGGTTGAGAAGCTCTCACCAAAAGAGGCCTTTTTCTTGTTCAGATTGACTGTCTCAGGACTAGAAGGGGAGTTACTGTTCATGCGAGGGAAAATTGGAAAAGGTGGGAGGGTTTTTGAATCTTATTAATGGTTAAATGTTGAGCAGGTGGTTTCAATGAGAAGTTGTATCTTTGTTCAAAAAAAAAATAAATGTCGAGCAGGTGGAAGGTACTGTTCTTTTGTTGTTGAGCTGTGGGTCTGCTAAGGTAAGTATGGGCAGACTCTTTTCTTCTTAAGGAGCTGAGAAGTGCAGTTACTGAAATTGTTTTAGAAGTCACAGAATTAGGTAGCTTGTCTAGCTCTTCTGCCAAGGTGGTTCCTTGAGGGTATTTCTTCTCTACTAGCCTTAAAGACAAACCCCAGGGTAGGTGGGCATGATGCCAACGACAAATTTTTGGAGTTCTGTTTTGTTGTCTTAGGAGGTTTTCCATAGCGATTGATATGGATTCTTTGATCACTTTGTCCATTATAAATGCATTTCACCTGACAAGGTCATTCTTATTTCTCAGGAGTTTGGAATGAGAATGTGATTAGGTAATGTCACTCTGTTATTAAAAATGTGGCTGGGATCATGTGAGGCATGGAAAATGGTATAGAGAAGTTAAGAGGAAAATCTGATCCTTTTTATTATATTAAAGGGGTAGGGGCCTCTTTAAGGCTTTCATAGGGGCCGCCTTATCTTAATTACCGTCGTGGTTACTAAATAAAACATAAAAAATGATTGTAAAATCTTATTATTACTATAACCTAGCAAGCCTTGATGCTGTAGCAATTGCCCTTCCCAATGCTATAGCAATAAACTACAGTAATTACATAAAATGGTAGAGCAAGTAACTGTGTACACCATGGTTACCATTATGCTAAATTAATTCTTGCATTTTATATATTTCTACCAACATGAATATTTTGGTTTCTTTTTATAAAATTTGATCCTGAACCTGTTCCTTTGTGGACCTTTATGTTTTATTGATTAATTATTAGTGCATTAACAATGCATGAAGCTTCCTCAATTGAGAGTATTTTTTGTAATCCCTTTGGTGTATGTGATACCTCATCTTCCCTTTTTGTACTCCCTATTTTGACAGTGAAAATTTTGTTTCTTATCACAAAAAAAAAATAAATAAAATAAAAATGGTGGTGCATTACCAGTTGATACTTTGAATTTCTCACTCTTGCAGTTTTTTTGGAGTTGGAGAGGGTGATCAACATATTGGGCGTGGAGTAAATTGTAGTCCAGAAATTGTTTGGCCATCGAATGGAGAAAACCAAGTGTTTGAAAAAGTTCCCAGAGATATTTGGCAACTTTCGGGTGCTTCATTGCAAATGTCATCAAACATATCTTCTATAAAATTGTTTAAGAAGCGCTTTCCTTTGGTGCATGATGACGTTTCTGATATTCAACATGCATTGTATCCTTTAATTTTCTAGAATTTTTTTCCATTATTCTGTTTCCCATGGTCCCT